CACTGAACTGTACATGTGAAGATTGCTGAAATGGCAAATGGTTTCTTACATATTTATTTACCACCACAAAAAATAAATTTAAGAAACTCACAGAACACTGACATTTGCCACCTTTTTAATTCAAGGGTCAAAACCTCAAATACCCACAAAGAGCAAGCTGGAGAAAACAGGCACTTTCAAGAAAAACAGAATAAATGCATGTGCATTTGGAAGAATATGGTGAGTAGTGAGAACTACTGCAAACTGGAGACCATATGCCCAAGGCAGTTCCCATGTTCCTTGTTCTGGCAAATATTTAAGCCAGCTACCTAGAAGTTGTGGGGGTAATGTCTCAATTCCTAAATACTAACAACAAAACATGCATCTTGCTTGATTTAACTAAAAAATAGATATAGGCTATATTGGGGGGCATCTCATCTTAGCTTTAACACATTCATTCCTAAAAGGGACGTCTATCACTGTTTCACGGAATCTGCAATTAATTAGTCTTAAAAATTTGCACGTATAAATATGCTGAAATAGAGAAAGCACTACACCTTATTCTACATTCCTTTCATAGTCTCAGTAAAATGATTCCTTATCTTAGGTAACCCAATCTGAATTTGTTTTATGACAGACACCTCCTCAAGTCATTTTTATTTCTTCCAGTAATCTAGTAAGCTTAAGAACATGTATCTATGTCATGTTATGTACTGTGTGCCCAATAATAACCTGTACACAGTTAAGTGCTCAATAAATGAGAAAAGTAAAATAATCTACCCTGCAAATATCTGCTAGTATTGACAATATCCTTATTCCAAAACCAATCACACAAACTGCTCTAACTTTCAATAGCTTTGAAAAACCCAGTGACTTTCAGTCCAATTACATTCACAGTAATTTAGATATAAACTGGGTCAAAACATTATCACATACCTCACCAAAACCACCAAAGTACTCCCTTATTTTCTCTTCAGGTGTATCTGGAGAAAGGCCACCAACAAAAATTTTTTTAACAGGCTCTTTTGTTTTCATGGCTTTGGCCCTTTTAGGGTCAATCACTTTCCCATTCAATTTATGTTCTTTCTGATCCATGACCTAAAGAAATTGAAGTTTTTCATTTTTAATATGTTTATTTTAACTATAGTTCACAGAAAATTTATTTTAAAATTGTAACTAAATAAATATAGCTAATGCCAGGCATGTGTTGACTGGCTCAAGATTAACATGCCAAGTCATGCGGTGATGTGACATCAACTAATACACAAAAACCAAAGACCAAACCAGTTGCCAAAGTTAATTCTGACTCACGGCAACCCGACATCTGTTAGAGTAGAACTGCTTTCAGTAAGGTTTTAAGTGACTGTGATCTTTCTGAAGTAGACTGCCAAGCCTTTCTTCCAAGGTGCCTCTGGGGGAATTCAAACCACCCACCTTCAGTTAGCAGCACCTAACCATTTGCACCACCCAGGGACTAGCAAATACAAACTAGTGCCAAATCTAAGGTCAATAAGAATGCAAATTTAACCAATTAACTGGTTAATACCAGAAACCCAAAAACCCATTGCCCTAGAGTCAATTATAACCCATCACGGTATAGGACAGAGTAAGACTGCCCCACAGAGTTTCCAAGGCTATAAATCTTTATGGGAGCAGACTGCCACATCTTTCTCCCAGCAGAGTAACTAATGGGTTCAGCTGATGTGATTGAACCACCAATCTTTCAGTTAGCCACCAAGCATTTAACCACTTACTAGATAACTATCAGATATATAAACAAGTATCGTTACTGCTTCTACTTAGCAAGGACCAAAATGATGATTAGGGTCAAAGCTTCTTGCCCAACAAATTTCAAATTCTGTATTTCTATGAATCTGTTACAGCAGCATGCCCTTTTAAAATAAGCCTTTTTAAGTCTCAACAATTTTTTTAAGTTAATTTTAATTTAGTAAAGCCTGGCACACAGAATGTATTCAGTAAACAATTCCTGACTCTGACTCTTCTCTCATAAAAATATATTAGGGAAAGAACTGTCTTTTCCTTCTTAGATTTGCAGAGGAGGAATTGTAAGGGATAAATCCACTGTTATGAAACTATCCATATCTTAATATTTTATACAATAAAAGCTGTAAGAGCTGGAATTTGATGGGATTGCCTTGTTTTTCCTGGATGTGTAAGTTTTCTGCCTTTGACAAAGTGCATGCAGTCTTACCATTTTTCTATCGCTTTAATTGGAAATATTTGAGTTTTCTCTCTGACAGGTCTCTGCCTTACATAGGCTCCAGCTTTCACAAGTTTTATTGTATTATTTCATCAAACTTTACTAATTGATCAGAACACATAAAATACTACCTTATCTACACTCTCCGACTCTTTAAATAGCACAAAGCCAAAACCCCTTGATCGCCCTGTGATAGGATCTAACTTCAGAGTGCAGTCTACAACTTCACCAAATTTGGAGAAGTAGTCCTTCAGATCTTTCTTTGTAGTGTCCCAGCTAAGGCCTCCTATAAACATTTTCCTGTAAAGACAAAAAGCAGTATTAAAAGGCTAAAAATAAATTAAACTTTGCCTTAAATATTACCCACATCAATAATAAACCTTTTCCAAACTGCACCAATTTACTGGGCAGTATATTAAAATGTTCTTCTTCCTATATAACCACACATATCAAGGACATCTTATTCCCCAAAGTTTTGCTCATCACTGCTGCTGAGTAATTACAAAATTAAGTATGCAAGCAGCATATTAAGTCTTTCAACATGCTAAAAAGATAAACATGTCCCTAAAGTAAAAATGCTAGACATAAAGTTTTCCCTAAATTACAAGTATTGACAGTAGCAAAATACAGAACCGCAATTTTAGATTACTCTTCCACATCTTCAATAGATATGTCAAAAGGCTATGGAGTATGCAATGATCACAGCAACCAGCATTTTGTGCATGCTGAGGATCCTGTTCTAATTAAAACTTCTCTCATTAACAAAACTCTCAGCACACAAAACAGGAAATTCTAACTCTCACAATTAACTTGTGAACTAACTTTTAAGATGTGCTACGAGTCAGAATCGACTAGACGGCAGTGGGTTTTAAGACCCCTTAAGAAAGATGAAAGTAATTTTGTGAAAGAGGTTAACAGTAATTAGTGGACAATTCATTAAAGCATCATCCACTAATTAACCTACTAGATTTCTTTACAACAAAACCTCAAGTTAACCAGCAGTAAAATATTTAAACCTTTAAAATGCTAGAAGTGACTGGTGGATAACTGGAACTCACCAAGACACTGAAACCAAAGTAGTACACTCAAAAAAATATTCAATAAATTTTCAAGGTGACATCTTAAATTACTATTTAACATTATTACTACTACAGCAAAGGCCATAAAGCTCAGATCTGGCAGCTCTTTTATCCTTTTTACACTGTGCCCTCTGTGTTTAATAAAAAAAAAATTAAGAGGCGCTAACATATACCTATTTAAGAAATACTAGATTTTATTATTTTAGAATAAACTGTCAGAATTTGTTATGTGAGAGCTAAAAAAAAATTCACTATGGAGATAAAATTCCTGATTGCTCCATGTTTTTGCATTTTTGTAATTGGGAGGTATGTCGTAACTGGGGAAGGGGGTTTGATACTAACTTCCAGCTCCAGAAAGAAATTTAAAAGTAAGCCTTTCTTTAGGAAACATCTCCATCTTGTGGGCTTTTAGGATACTGCTAGTTAGCTTCATTATTGCAATAAAAGATTACCTGTCCTTGAATTAGGGTCTTCTCCCCAAAGATGCCCGATTAACTGAGGTATTACTGATCATACTATTCTACCACAAGCTTCTTTTTACTTCTAATGTCAGTTACATTTTTGTACAAAAGAAGTCTTACACTTTAAGTACACACTGTGTTCTCCATTTCAGAGTAGGTTTTTTAACCTATACAAGTATTCTCATACGTAATTTTCAGGACTTCCTCAAGTAAAAATTCCATGCTTGAAGTTACATTTGTAACACATTTTGTGTTTTATAATCAAATGAACGTAACAAAAACACCCATAATGCTGCACAGGTTGTGTGTTAACATTTATTTACTGCCACTTCCCTGGGAAATCTCTGGAGTGTTTTCTCAGTAATATGTTTCCTTTCACTCGAATAATGCACCTTCTAATAGCCAATTCTTATTGCCATAAGTTTCTTTAAACATCATTATTTAAACTAAACATACAGAGCACTTCTTTCAGACATGAAAGTTCATTACCAACATTTACCCTTTAAAGGTGAGGAGCCCACTGTCATCTTTTTTAAAGATGAGAAAGAAAAATGACTATAAATGGCTTCTTGCTCAGATATCCACGGCAAGTTCTAGAACAGAAACAACTTCAATTAAGTTGAGAGTTAACTATTAAATTACTTCTGTGATTACAGAAATTTTCTTTCAATAATTGAGCAAAGAGAATTTGAAATTCTTTTAGCCCAAACAGCATACAACAAGTCTTATTTTTAAAAAATGCTAAAGTTGTAAAGAAAATTGTCTCAGAAAGAACAAGTTTTGATTGTATTTAATCAAGGCAATGTTTATATTGTGAAATTGTCTTTAATTTAAAATTAACAGAAATCAATCACAAAAAAATAATTAACACCAAGAATGAGGCATGTTCAAACTACTATTATTCACAGGCCCCAAATATTTTTAACAGCATAGGAAGTCAGTTTTCTTAAATCCTAAACATACTGATTGATCAACTGGCCCAATAAAGTGCTCTAAGAAAACTCTCCACTTTTAATATAATCTTCTATGTCATTTTTAGCCTAAGTTAAAACATTACATATGCCTACCTTAGAGCTAAAAAAGGTTCACTGAAGATACTATCCCTCCTAGTTTAGGATAAATCCTATTTATCCAGGTATTAAACGTTCTTGACAACTACATGTGTATATGTATGTATACATATCCCAAAGAATAATGACCAGTTCTCAAAAAGAGCAAAATGTATAGTAAAACATCAGCTTTCTAGCACCTTTAGAGAATGAAGAGCCAAGTTATTTCAGAGCTGGAAGTTTCACCTTCCTTAAAAGCACTGCCTGCCTTGCGCAACTCCCTTCAACTGATTTCCAGCCATCAACTATTTGCAATAAAATTGTGTTGTAAATCAAGTACAATAATTATGATTTAACACTTTTTGGGTTGGTTAACATTAATGTATTAAGCTACTATAGAATGGTATTAGCCTTCTGAAATTAGAGCTATTTTTTATGCACAGTACATCTCATTTCTTCTTCTATTATTTCTTAGCTCTTTTAACAAGTTCTAATTTTTTTTGCCAGATAAATCACAAATTGCTGTTCTAAAATGCCTCCCCCTTCCCATAGCATACAGTAAAATAGAATAAGTAGCCAACTCTTAAACTTTCTCCAATTTTGGTTTTGTGGATTTTTATTTTTTTAAAAAAATTTTTTTAATTGTATTTTAGGTGAAAGTTTACATACTGAATTAGGTTTCCAATCAATAAATCATACACAAATTATTCTGTGACAATGGTTGCAATCTCCACAATGTGTCAGCACTCTCCCCATTTCTTCCCTGAGTTACATTCATATGGTTTTTCCTGTCCTTCCCTGCCTTCTCATCTTTGGTTTTGTGTATACATTGCCCTTTTAAACTTTTTCAAATTTGTTGTAAAGTACAAAGTCTATGGGCAAGTGCCTTTTGTTTTAGAAGAAATTAACATTTATTTTGGCAGCCCAAAAGCCCTTTGGCTTTCTTTTTCCTGCTCTAGTAAGAAAGATTTGTTCAACGACTGATACCTACAGGTGAAAAAACTATCAAATCCGTTCCACTTTAACTAAATGGAATGTATTAAATACACTCCCCATCTTTATTTAACAAGAACACCAAGTTATAACTGTATAGTAGTGTTGGATAAGTTTCTTCATCTGGATTCTGGATAAATGGAAACTTATAGCCTTTCTGGAACATTAGCATTCTGACATGCTCTCCTTCAAATCGTGAGACGGCATAAAATGTTATCAATTTAAATTATATTTCATATTACTGCTTAAAGCACAATGGCTATGATCCCATCCAAATTACCAGTTGACCCTGACTTGCAAAGCTATCACTCCTGCAGAGATGCAAATACTTTCCAATAGAGGTAAAACTTCAGAAAATCCTAAGCAGCCAAGTTAAAACTATGTTACAAGACTTACTTAAGTAGCAACAGAAATGAGCCGCAACATTGTATATGTGATCTTCAGTTATCAATCAATCAATCATCCCACAATTACTAGCAGGACTTCAATTTAAAACATCTACTCAACAATCGAAGTCTCTTAAATACTGTTATTACCAAACTATGGAATTAAATAACAAGCATAAAGTTTAACAATTCAGTACAGATAACCATCCAGATGCTTATGCAGAACTATTCAGGAATTTTGGCTGCTTTGTGGGACATTATCAACTTTTAGAGAAAATAACTTCAAGTGGTAGTAAGCCAAATTAAAAGGGTTTGAACCCTAGTTCTGCCACTTTTGTATGATTCCAAGAAAAAAGAAATAAGAAATAAAGCTCAAGACTGCTTCCCATCAGTAGAAGGAGAAGCAACAAAGCCTACCCTACCAAAGATATCTGTGGTTAAGACTAAATGGAATTAAATGCCACAGAACAGAGCCTGACACATCTTAAATGCTCAATAAAAATAAATTATTATTTAGAAGAGATAAAGTACAATTTAACCATAACACTTACTGACCGTGATCAACAACAGTTCATTATCAAACAACCCTTTCATTTACTCAATGGTTTTTTTTTTTTTTTTTTAAAGTCATAGGCTATATGGATGAGCTACATTGGCAAGAGAACAGGCCAGGATGAGATTCATATAAATGGATCCTAAGATTATTTTTGCAGTGCAACAGACTTAAACCAGAAATAATTTTTAAATACCCATTTAAAGAATATATAGACTAGAAATTAGATCACCTAAGACTCTCAAATAAAACATAGAATCCAACATTATTTTGAAGACTCCTCTTTACACAAGACTCATCTGTGCTCCACATAAATGCAACTGTAATACACAGTAATTTCAAAAACATAAATAAAATAAAATACATATGGAGCAGTACTGGTTGGTAGAAAACAATCTGATTTAATCATCCTATTTTTTTTCCCCGCACCCAAGAAACATATTCTATGTACTATTGAGGTCAGTAGGTTTAACACTCCAAAATCAACAACAAAAAAATTTATGTAAAGATGCTTTCCCTAACAAGCCTTTACTGTGAAACAAGACAGCTTTAAACACCCTATTCAAATTAAAATGGTAAACTACTGCACTTCCTTGCCATTTTGGAACAGGGACCCCCCCACACACAAAAAAAGTATTCTGTAACTTTAAAACTCTTCCTACAACTCATGGTCTTATGGTTTCATAACAAGTTCTGACAGTTTAAAAACCTGATAGACACATTTCAAGTATGTAACATGACTGGCCAATCACTATCATCGTTTATAAGACTGTTACACA